GTCGGCCACCGGCGATGAGGGGAGCCTTGAGGCGTCGCCTGTGGCGCCGGCCAGTGGCATCGCCGGCGGTCGACAAGGCGCCAAGCTCGTCGACCAGAATCGGAAGCCGTCGACGACAGGGGAGCAGCAGACAGGGGAGCCGGTCGAACAGGAGGAGGCAGCAGTAGGCGTGCAGTCGACAGGGAAGCAGCAGACAGGACCGCCGACAGGGGAGCTACCGAAGCAGCCGGTCGAAGGGTCGAAGCAGCTGGTCGACGACGACGTTGTCGACGAGGAAGGGGAGCTGTCGGCGGGAGAGGAGTCCACCGACAGCGACGTGGTGGAGGTTCCGGTCGAAAAGCCTGCGCCGGAGCTGCGACGGTCCGGCCGAGCTCGACGGCCGCCGGAGAAGCTGAGCTACCACGCCTGCCTGCCACCAGCTGCCTTCACCACGGTGTACGACGGGGTCGACGACGACCTGTTATACGACCACGCCGAGGAGGATGAAGACCTGCCGGAGCTCGACCCCGATGTGCATGCCGACCCCGATTACCGCTGGGACATCGCCACGATGACGGTGAAGGAGGCCTTGGCGAGCTGGAAGGGCGATGCGGGGAAAGCCGCCATGGAGGAGGAGATCCGCAGCCTCATCGGCATGGGCACTTGGGAGCTGGTCGAACGCCCACGCGGAGTGAACATCATGAAGAACCGGTGGGTGCTGACGACCAAGTACCGCATAGACGACACCGTCGAGCGCGAGAAGGCGAGGCTGGTCGTGAAGGGCTTCACGCAGGTGTACGGCGCCGACTACGACGAGACGTACTCGCCGGTGAGCAGCTACGTCACGCTGAGGATCTTCCTCAGCATCGTCGCCGTCCTCGACCTCAACCTGATGCAGCTCGACATGAAGAACGCTTTCCTGCAGAGCAAGCTTGACAGGGTGCTCTACATGTACCAGCCGGACTACTTCGACGATGGGACCGGCCGGGTGTGTAAGCTGCTGAAGAGCCTCTACGGGCTGAAGCAGTCGCCGCTGCTGTGGTACAGAGCTCTCGACGGAGTGCTGCTCGGGGCTGGCTGGAAGAAGAGCCAGGTCGACGAGGCGCTCTACTTGAAGTCCGGCGACGACGGAGTGACATGCTGGGTGCTGGTCTACGTCGACGACCTGCTCGCCGCCAGCAGCAGCACCGCGATGCTGAAGGAGCTGAAGGAGCTGCCGGAGGCCGCCTTCGAGCTGCGTGAGATCTCACCTTGGGTTGGAGATCGTGCGCGACAGGCCGGCGAGGAAGCTGTGGCTGCACCAACAGAACTATGCCAACAAGCTGCGTAGGCGCATCATCGACGAGGAGCAGGGCGGTCGAGTCTCGAAGACGCCGGTCTCGGTTGATGCCTACGCCGAGCTGACATTCGACGACGAGGAGGCGCAGGAGCGCGAGGAGGAGGAGAACCGGCAGAAGGTCGGCTCGCTGCAGTTCGCGGCGACGACGACGAGGCCGGACATCGCGTTCGCCTGCAGCAAGCTGGGGAGCGGCCTCACGGTTAGGAGCGACCAACATTGGCGCGAGGTCGACCGCTGCCTTGCCTGCCTCGCTGACACCCGAGACACCGCCCTGGAGTTCGGCGGTGGACAAGAGTCGCTGGAGCTGATCGGCTACGTGGACGCCGACGACGCGGGCGACAAGCAGAAGCAGACGAGCACGGGCGGCTACGTGTTCGTCTTCGGAGGGGCCGCGGTCTCCTGGTCGAGCCAGCGCATCAAGTGCGCGACGCTCTCATCGACCGAGTCGGAGTATGTCGCGGCCACGGACGCCGGCAAGGAGGGGCGTCGACTTCGCTTCCTCCTTGCAGTTCAAGCTGCTCGACCCTGGGAAGCCGACTGTCCTCCGCGTGGACAACAAGTCGGCGATCACTGTCGCTGAGGGCACGGGTGCTGACGGGCAACCTCAAGCACATGGAGCGACGCTATGCCTGGCTGCATCACATGGTGAGGCGCAGGAAGTTCGCGCTGAAGTACATCCCGACCATCGAGCAGCCGGCCGATTTCCTGACGAAGGCGCTGCATTTTCCGGCTTTCAACCGGTGCTCTGTCGCCATCGGCCAAGTTTGCCTAGCCGACGTCGGCGACGGCGACGATGAGGTGCAGCAGTAGGTGCCGTGCCCTTCTGCATGGCTGGTGCGGTGATGGCGTGTTGTGTGTGGGGTGCACGCCGACGACGAGTTTTCTCCGTGAAGTACTGCCGTGTAGGCTTGAGGCCCAAGCGTGAGCGCGGCAGGGGAGTGTTAACAGGAATGGAGTGTTGGCCCCGCCCTCGCTTGGGCAACGCCGACGACTTGGTCGGATGTACTGGAGTAGCAGCCGATCGTCCACAGTGGGAGAGCTGCTCGACAGGCTACGTCGAGATGCAGGGGACCGCTGTGGCGTTGCTGTCGACCAGGGAGCTCGACAGCTGCAACTGACTGGCCTGGGCGACGGGTGGGCCGTCCAGGAGGTCGACGGAGCATCCCGTCGACCTACAGCTCGACGGGGAGGTCTGCGGAGCATCCTGTCGACCTGCAGCTCGACCAGGAGGTCCGCGAAGCATCCCGTCGACCTGCAGCTCGACCGGGAGGTCGACGGAGCAGTTCTGGTCGACGGAAGGGGTCCGTCGACCAGGGGGTAGCTCGACGGGAGTCGTGGTCGACCAGGGGCACCTGGTGGTCGACCGGAGCACCTGGTGGTGTCCGGATCGACCGGGTAACCTGCTCGACGAGTTCTGCGGAGTCACGCGAACGTCGTCGAGGTCGCGATGGCGAAGGCGACTTCGGGATGGTATCTCGAAGTCGATGTGGCTCGTCAGGCGCAGACAACAGCCGACGTCTGCCCAGCGAGGCAAGTCGGGCCAATCGTCTGTGCACACCTGCGAGCGTGCGCACTGTTGTCTTCTACGGGGCAACGCTGGCCAGCCGCACAGCTGCAGCGTTGGCACGCCGTCGACCTGTAGTGTTGGCAGGTTGCTCTTCTGCAGTGCTGGCGCAGCTCCTCTACGCAACGCTGGCAGGCAGTCGACCATGCAGTGCTGGCGGTCGACCAGGCTAGCTGCAGGATTGCTAGGTGCCTGATGTAGTCAGTTCTGTCATTGCTTGTTCAATGATTCTGTATTCTCAACTTTGCTAGTGGAACTCTTGCCAATCTCTCCCGTGAATGTGCAAGTGCTAAGGAACCAAGCAAAGCTACGATCACTCCTAGTAGTTCGTGCCAACACCCGTAGTCTAGCTCACTACCGTTGTAGAGTGAATCGCCACATTCAGCCCAGCCCTCCGATACAGGTCTGATGAGAGCGCACACGACAAGGAAAAAATTGATGTTTCAGCACAGACAGTAAAAAAAAAAAAAAAGAAATTACAGCATACAAAAAACAAAAAGCTGCCGCAACAGCCCCATGTTTCCCTAAACGGCTTTAATCACAGCCTTTTTACCCCTAATCAGCCTTTTTTCGCTGACTTGTGAGGGCCTGCTCGCAAGCACCGCGTTATCGTTTGCATGTTCCGCGTACGAGTATTCGCTCACGCCTTCGCCCATACTTTGTACTCGTTGGGACCCAGTGCAATCCTCTTGATCTTGTTCCATTGCCTTCGATTCTCCCCTTGCTCAACAACCCAACCTCTCGTTCCTGAGGTCCCCGCCTTGCTAGGTTAGCTTTCTTTTTTGTCTCCCGTCCTTCACAATGTAGAGCACACTTTTTTGCAATACTTCAAAACAAACGAGTGGAACCTAGTAAGGAACCAAGGCGCGGCACACAAAGAATGAAAAGGAATGCGGCGCGGTGGACGTGCATTGCACACACAAACGCATTCACGAGCCGCGTACCGACATTTTTCCCCGCATTCTGGCTGGAGATTGAAAGCAAAGCACCGTTCTTCCCATCCCCACCATCCAGCCCTCCCCTCCATTCCCGTCCCTCTTGCCACAAATCTTGACTCGACACCCCCTTCCCCCCGCTCCCCTCCGTCTTCGAGCGGAATGCGTGCAGCTATGTGCCCTCAACCTTTCTCCACCCTGCTCAACCTCCCGCGACAAAAATGCATGCTTGACTGAACATCCTCTCTCCTCTCCACTCCACACACGACGGACGGCTCTCAGCCGCTGGGCAGCGTGAGAAAGTGGGTGACAGACGTGCTCACCCCGCTGCAGCTCCAGCCAAGCAGATCCAGGCACTCCGTAACGCGCAGGGATTTACTGGTATCGGGGGCGTCGTTGGTCGGTGTAAAAGCTAGTAATTTCAGGGGCCGTGGTGGACGCTCGTAGGCTGTATTACTCTTGCCTTTCAGTTCGCTTCTGCCCACCAGTACAGTAGTCTCTCTGGCTAGCCCCGTTCCGGCTATCTCGGAGTCACGGAATCGTGTCGGGGCCAGAAGCCCCCCTGAGTACGTGACGTCGGTGGCTGCCTTTATGACCCATGCATCAAGTGCATGCTCTATCCCAGTCGATCTCGATGTTGACCCATGTCATCCTAATGTAACCATGTCATACTAGTTCTACATCGTCGCCAGTAGCTTCTAGCCGCGCAATTCAAGTAAAGTCCGCTTAGCCACTGAGCAGCGGCTGAGCAAAGCCAGCCGGCTTGCCGTCACCAAGCCTTAATCGGCAGCCGCTTAGCATCTCCCACGCGTCGCTGTCTGTCGCATAGCATCGCCAGCCGTTTAGCTGGCTATCGCTCAGCATCACCAGCCGATTAGCTGTCTGTCGCTCAGCATCGCCAGCCGCTTAGGTGCCTGTCGCGCAGCATCACCAGCCGTTTAGCTGCCTCTCGCTTAGCATCGCCAGGCGGCGCTATCGCCACCTCGACGCCGTAACGACGACGACCGTACGATCTATCCAAGCGTGGAATGACCTAGTGATGGTGACCGTACGATGCTAGCCGTAAGGTCGCTCAATCGTGTAACGATTTGTTACTTGAGATTCCGCGCGGAAGAGCATCGTACGGGCAATTGTTTTTTTTTTCTCGGAAACTATCTAAATTTGGGGCGAACACATCTATATGATGCCGAGACGAATGTCCGGACATTCTCGAAGGATTAGCGTTCTGGTCTTGATAACTGTGCTATGTCTAAAAGCAACAGCTTTCGAGGTTGAAGCGGCAAGTGAGGAGGGGAAAAGCCGGCCGAGAGAATCGATACCGGGACCTGTCGTTGCGGCCGGAACAGGATTGACGCTGACGCTGCTGCCCAACAACCGATACGGCGCGAAATGCCTCGACGGCAGGTAAGCCATTACTCGTGGTTCGGGCGGTGTTGGGTGGCAGGTTGGCGACTTGGGCGGTGTTGGACGGCGGGTTAATGTTTCGGACAGGTCTGGGCGGCAGGGTGGTGCTTGGGCAGTCAAGTAACCTCTGAAATCGTGCAATCCTCACCCGTATGACACACTGCTGGTTGACTCCCTCACATGCTACAGACCCCCTCAAATTCAACAGCCCTGGTCCATTTCCCACGTCATGCGGCTTTGCGTGCACTATCCGCTTTCTTCTTTCCTCTGCACACCGTTACGCACTCCCCACACCCATACTTCTCTCCCTGCACTTCGCACGTCGAACTCGGCACCCTACAGCAACCCGCACTTTGCACCCCGCACTTTACCCCCCGCGCTTTGCTCCCCGCATTCCGCGCGCTGTATACGTACTGTGAGGAATTCCGTAAAGTCTACGGCTGTGCGTGCAACGCCGATCGTACGGTCGTCGCCGTGGCGCAAGAAGCAGCAGCTACGTCGTTTGATACAATAGTTCCTCCCTGTCCCGCGCCGTCCGCTAGTGTACTCTTCCGTCTCTCCCCGTCCCCCACTCCGCCAGATTCTCCGGTCTACACGTCCCCCCCCTCCTCCCCCCTCCCATTCCTGTCACTCCGCACCCTCCCCACCTTAACCCCCCTTCCTCTTCCTGCGCGCATCGCCAGAGTACCTTCCTCTCCCTCTCTCAGTCCCCCAAATCCGCCAATTCCCCCCCCCCCCCTCCCCGCCCGATTCCCTCTCTCCCGCCTTCAGTCCGCCAGGGTACTATTTCCGCCCGGGATTCGGCAACGGCAGCAGCGCGTGGCACGTGCACTTGCAGTACGGCGGGTGGTGCAGCACGCTGGGGGAGTGCCGGTGGCGCAGCCACACGTGGCTCGGCTCTTCCAACGAGACTCAGCAAAACCAGAACCCCTGGAAACATGTAAGCGCTGAGTTGCAACAGTTTGTCACGAAACCTGTTACACAATTTGATTTTGGAATATGCAGTTTTGAGCACACAACTTCTCAACCTAATATAGATTACTACATAATAAGACGTGGAGATTCTCTCACCCAGTCGTTCCATTTTCAACAGTTGAAATAACACGACTTTCTTTCTACCAGTTACTGAAATAAGATACGATGAAACTGTGTTACACCCTTGCCTGCAGGCGAATTGGGGTTACATGGGGATTCTCAGCCGGAATCCAGTCACCAATCCGCGCTTCTACAACTGGAATCTCGTGGTCCCGATTTACTGCGACGGTGGCGGGTTTGCCGGGCGCGCGGGGTTCAAGAACTGGAGCGAGACGGAGGGCGTGTATCTGGACGGTTGGAAAATCATCAAAGCTGTTCTCACAGGTGAGTTTGCAAATCTCGAGGTTTTATTGTACTCGCTTCAAGACTCACTGAGATAGTTACCAAGGCAACATGAACTGTATGACTCAGCGCACTGCATCTTCACCGTAAGTCCACTGTTTTGGTGTTAAGCAGTTTATGAGTCCAATCAATTCATCTGAGTGTGTGTAGCAGCTAAATTTGTCAAAATTTATTCATCCCCGAAACAATCCTTGAAAATACTACTCATTCCTCTATGCATTCGTCCAGACGTTACAGATTTCAAGGGCCTGAAGACGGCGTCGCAGGTGCTGCTGTCGGGGGTGTCGGCGGGAGCCGAGGCGGTGGTGACTCTGTGCGACCAGCTGCCCGCCCTCGTGCCCTCCGCCAAAACCACCAAGTGCCTCATGGACTCGGGCTTCTTCCTTGGTCAGTTTGACTCTTCCCCATTCTACTCCCTCCCCTCATTTTTCCACCACCAAGTGCCTCATGCACTCGGGATTCTTCCTCGGTGCGAATTCTGTCCCATTTTCATGAAAAAAGCCCTGCTTCCTTTCCACCACCAAGTGCCTCATGGGCATGGGCTTCTTCCTTGGTGAGAAACAGTTAATGTTGTCACGGATAACCTCTGTGCTTCATGGACTCGGGCTTCATCCTCTGTGTGACCACCCACTTCCCTCCCACCTTTCCTTGCTTCCACCAAGTGCGCTCTGCCTCCTGCTTCTTTCTTGGCTGTTTCCCCACCTCCGTGTTCCTTCATAGCTCTTCACAACACTTCATAGCTGAGGGTGCAGAGAGGGTGGTTTCTCAACTTGCCCCTTCCAAGTGCTCCATAGCTCCAAGCTCTTCTCACCTGCTTAAATCATTCTTAACTTCCAGAATATTTTTCTTCGTAGGTTGTTGCTACTGGCTGCCTTGCGTTTGTGCATATGTCTGGATGGCTCTGTTGACACTGCTTTAATGTCTGTCGGACTGTCTGACCCTGTAAACTCTCCCTCTGCCTTTTCACCCTGTAGACTCTCCCTCTGCCTTTTCACCCTGTAGACTCTCCTCCTGCCTCTATTTCGCCCTGTATACTCTGTCGGATTCCGACTTCTGTAGACTCTGTCTGACTCCGTGTTTCTGTCTCGCTCATGTGGCCGTGCAGACGCATTAGACGCGAACATGCAATCAGCGTTCCGCAAGAGGCGGTGCTGCTTGATTTCGTGTTGACCACCACATGCCTGACTCTGCTTGACCCCGTTGACTCTGTTTGACGCGGTTGTTTCTGTCTCACTCCCCGTGGTCGTGCAGACTCACTTGACGTGGACCAGCAACCAGCGTTTCACAAGAGAATTCAGCAGGTCGCGGAGCTGCATGAATTCGTGGGGAGCACATTTCTCTCGCACTGCGGGTTCTGTTTGACCCTGTAGACTCTGTTTGACTCCTCTGTCTCACCCCCTGTGGCCATGCAGACTCTTTGGACGTGGACCAGCAACCAGCGTTCCGCAAGAGAATTCAGCAAGTGGCGCAGCTGCATGACTTCATTGGCAACCCGCGATGCAGCAGAGGTGAGTGCTGCAAGAGGTGGCGTCTCAAAATGTTCCGCAAGAGGATTCAGCAGGTGGCAGAGCTGCATGACTTCATCGGCAACCCGCGATGCAGCAGAGGTGGGTGGTCCAAGGATCTTCCTGACTCATAAATCCAAGGGCTGCAGTGCGTGCGCTGCGTGCGTCCCTTTGGCCCTTCGAATTACGAGTCAGGATCAACCCTCGATGCAGCAGAGGTGGGTAGAACAAGGATCTTCCTCACTCATGAATTCAAGGCCTGCAGTACGTTCACTGCGTCCCTTTGGCCCTTCGAGTTATGGGTCAGGAACAATTCTCGATGCAGCAGAGGTGGGTGGTCCAAGGATCTTCCTGACTCATAAATCCAAGGGCTGCAGTGCGTGCGCTGCGTGCGTCCCTTTGGCCTATCGAATCATGAGTCAGGAACAACCCGCGATGCAGCAGAGGTGGGTAGAACAAGGATCTTCCTGACTCATAAATCCAAGGGCTGTAATGCGTGCGCTGCGTGCGTCCCTTCGGCCCTTCGAATTACGAGTCAGGATCAACCCTCGATGCAGCAGAGAAGGTGGGTGGCAGGCGAGTGGGGGAAGTGCTTGCAGAGGTGAGCAGCAGGCTAGTGGGCATTGGGGTTGCTGCATAGCTTTGTCTGCATAACTTTGTCTGCATAAATTTGTCTGCATAACTTTGTCTGCATCGATGCAACCCTCGATGCAGCAGAGGCGGGTGGAAGTTCTCGCTGAGACGAGTGGCCAGCGACCTGTTATGTACGACTTGTGAGTCGACTCAAAAGAATTCAAGAGCTGTCTTTGCTACATGAATTCGTCGGCAACTCTGGATGCAGGAGGGGTGGGTGGAATTGCTTTCAGAGGCGAGTGCAGACGACTTGGGTATTGATGGGTTGCTGCAACAGTGAGCTGGGTGCTGACGTGGCTTCTTGGTCTGGGCTGAGCTAGCACTTACATTGTAGAGCTACGCGTTCTTTCCTGGAGGGTGGATTCTTTTAAGACGTCTCAAAAATACCCTCTCTTCACTTGTCATGGCTTCTTGGCCTGGGCTGAGCTGGCACTTACATTGTAGAGCTACGCGTTCTTTCCTGGGGGGTGGATTCTGCCTGAATAATTTCACGCATGTGCTGCCCTCCATGCATGATGACGTGTTGCTGTCAGCAAAAACATAAGAGCAGGTTCGTGCAGCGTGATTGCTGACCAGAATAGTGTACTTTCAATCATATTTCCTCCCCATCCTGAAACTACATCATTGTCACGCTCCCACCCCTGCCCTCTGTTCCCCTTGAGTGGACTAACACATCTTGTCTCCATGTGCTGTCTCACACTTTCGCCCTCCCTCACTTTCCAAATCTCCTTTTTGTCCGCCATCCTCAGTCTCTCTTCATCCTGCCACTCCCTCCCAACAGCCACTAACGAGACCAAGAAGTGGCGCTGCTTCTTCCCAGAGTACTCCCCCCTCCCGTTCATATGATCGCCCTTCTTTCCCAATACTCTCTGATTTTTTTTTCTGCCATCCTCAGTCTCTCTTCATCCTGCCACTCCCTCCTAACAGCCACTAACGAGACCAAGAAGTGGCGCTGCTTCTTCCCAGAGTACTCCCTTCCGTTCGTTCGATCGTCCCTGATTCACTCTTCTTCATCCTGACCCCCCCCCCCCCCCCCCCCCCCCCTCCCTCCCCCACCACCAGCCACTAACGAGACCAAGAAGTGGCGCTGCTTCTTCCCAGAGTACTCCCCCCTCCCATTCGTTCAATTGCCCTTCTTTCCCAATACTCTCTGAAATTGTTTTCTGCCATCCTCAGTCTCTCTTCATCCTGCCGCTCCCTCCCAACAGCCACTAACGAGACAAAAAAGTGGCGCTGCTTCTTCCCAGAGTACTCCCTTCCGTTCGTCCGATCGTCCTTCTTTATCGTCAACTCATTGTTCGACGTGAAGGCCCTCACACTTGGTAACGAGCTGCCATCGAATAACATGACATACGCTTATGGGTGTCTAGAGGAAATAATGGCTATGCCCAACCTGAGGCGGTCCATTCCAAGCACACCATATAAGAATCTTGCATTAAGGAATCGGAATAGGAAGTGTACACTCGAGGCAAGTAGGGCTGTGCTTGCCTACTCACAGAAAATGTGGACGACCGTTGGTGGCATGGAGGATAAGAAGCTGAAGGCTTTTCTTGCTTGGTCTAACAAGCATGGGATTATGGTGGACGGTGCTTGGGCCACCATGAAAGAAGATGGGGTGTTTTTGCGAGATGCTGTAGCAGACTGGTATTTTTCGTCATGAGTTCATCAATATTCCCCCCTTCAACAGTTGTAATGTGATGCAACCAATTTACTCATTTTTTATCCAGTGTCCAAATATGTCATGATCGTATTAAAGCCAGGGTCTCAAGTAAGCAAAGCAGCCATCAACTGCAAAGCAGTTGAAGATAGGTTACCTTGTTAGTGCAGGCGAATTTCTCTTTGGTTGGGTTGGAAACCTTCTCCCGTCAGTGCCTCAAAAGCAATTGCACAACAAGTTTTGAGTACGTGAGACTTTCGACGAGTCTGGGGCATTTTAGGTTTGGTTCCGAACCAAATTTACAAACCTAGAAGGTTCGGCTACACCTAGCGATTTGGATTCGTTTCGTACCCCTCGCTTCACCCCTCTTCAAACTTCACAACTCGCCAACCAATCACACACAAACTTGCACTGTCGACTGCAAAACACTTGTAGTACATAAGACCCTGGCTTTAATGTTTTTGTCAATGGGAAGCATGCTTATGCTTATGGCTCGTATAAACGAGAATGTGGCCTTATGTTCTGAAATGCCGTCAGGGTCCCATAAGTCGTGATTGGTTGTCAGAACTCCACCCAACTTCTAGAGAGCCAACGTGGCCAGCCTTTGTCCGTACCGTGTTATGCGCTGGATCTTGGCGGTGGCACATAAAGACCAAACTCGAACCGCATTTCATGAAACCAGAATTCAACACGATTCGCATGTCCCAGGTTCTGAAATCTGGAGGCGGTTTGACAGATCAATGTGCCGATTCGACAATCGTGGAAATTCGTGCGTGCGCTGAAAACTTGGCGCTGTTCTGCAGGCGTTATCGGTTCCGCATAATTTGTGCGGGCAGGGCTTTCATCGTGGTTTCACGGCGCATCCAATCTGGGCGCTGTTCTGCAGGCGTTATTGGTTCCGCATATTTTGTGCGGCAGGGGCTTCCGAGTGGTTTCAGGGCGCATCTGTTGTGGTGTGGTTGCGCGGATGTTGCATAGAAGTCCAGCACCATACCAGCCGCACCTTCGCGTTTTGGCGAATGTTCACATTTCGAAGGTTGATACTGCCCCGCATAACTTGTGCGGGGGCTGATGCTACCTCTCGAGGTGGAATCAGCACCGCACAAATGGTGCGACATTTTGCCCGTCAAAGAAACAGCCGCGAACCAGCTGAAGGTTAAACTTTTGCACCCCAAAAGAGGTGTTCTGCAGGCAGAGGCGTCAAATTTGGCGCAAACAGGCTTGGCAAGCACTCGCTTATCACCAAACCTGGATAAGCAGAAAAGGCCTTATCAACGAAGATTCTACGCACCCTGTTTCTTGCCAAAAATCGCCTGCAGAACAACGCCCTGGTGTGGTTGCGTGGATGTTGCGTATAAGTCCAGCATCATCCCAGCAGCACCTTCGCATCCTGGCGAATGTGTGCATTTCGGGGGCTGGTACTGCCCCGCATATGTTGTGCGGAGGCTGATGCTAGCTCTCGAAATAGAATCAGCACCGCACAAATGGTGCGACCTTTTGCCCGTCGAAGCAAATTCCTCGAACCAGCTGGCGGTTAAACTTTTGCGCACCAAAAGTGGTGTTCTGCAGGCAGAAGCGTCAAAATTGGCGCAAACAGGTTTGGCAAGAAAGCCCTTATCACCAAACCTGTATAAGCAGAAAGGGCTTTATCAGCGAATTTTCTGCGGACCCGGTTTCTCGCCAATTAACGCCTGCAGAACAGCACCCTTGTTCATCCTCCCAACACAGATTTCAGCTTTGTGCTCCATAGCACAAGAATGGCCCCAATGCTGCAATGTCCGCCAAAGGTGGATTTACCCCTCCGACTGACGAGCAGGACCGACATCTTGCGCTGGACTAACCTCGTACAATACGATCACCATTGGTCAGGTGGCTCACCATCGTTGTCGGCAACACCCTCGACACGAATAAGGAACTAAAAGCCAGCCGCGCTCATTGTATACATCAACCCATTCAGATGACACCCACGAGCCGTCACTTGGCGTTTTTCTCATTTAGCGGTACCACTATCACGGCACGGCCTTACTCTACACTACAGAATTTTCATGACATGATAGTAATGGTTAGTTGAACACGGCACGGAATTCCCGAGAAAGAGTCCTCGCAAAGGCCTTGGTAGCCATAATCGCCAGTGCAGATTTATGTCACCTCTACAATAGCTACGCCTGGTTCATCTCGTCGTGCTACTAGAAGCAGCATTTCGCTTTCGTGAGGGTCAAGATGGCGAGCTTTTCAAGTCGTTATCTCCACGCCACTGCTGCGATGCTTTGCGTTATGCTCCTGGCATTTCTCGATCCCTCGGCGGGGGATGTGGGGAAACCGATGTCAGCGCCCGTCACCTCCGCTGGGACGGGACTGACGTTCACTCTGCTGCCTAGAAACCGGTTCGGCGCCAAATGTCTCGACGGAAGGTAAGCGATTAAGGATGCTGTGTCACATCTTCCTTCTCTTCGGCGCTTGGTGAACAGCCCAGTGGCGTGCGAACAGCGCAGTGACGTGCGAACAGCGCAGTAGCGTGCGAACAGCCCAGTGGCGTGCGAACAGCCCAGTGGCGTGCGAACAGCGCAGTAGCGTGCGAACAGCCCAGTGGCGTGCGAACAGCGCAGTAGCGTGCGAACAGCCCAGTGGCGTGCGAACAGCCTAGTGGCGCGCGACGCAGATCCGCTTTGACGAACGCGATTGCTTTTCTTCTGTTCTTCCTCTTTCTTCCCCACTTCCCCGGTTTGATCGACTATCCTCAGTCCGCCAGGCTACTATTTCCGGCCCTTCTCCCTCGCATTCAAGTACTCGTGTGCACGTCTTTCTGCCCTTTGGCGGATGGTGGACGGCGCTCGCAGAGTGCAAATGGTGCACCACGCAGATCCACTACGGCTTGAGGACCCGATTTTCCTTTCGCCTTTTCCTCCCACGTTTCCCTCATTTCTTCACTTCCTATTTCCGCCGTGTTCCCGTCAAAATATTCCCTCAGCCCGCCAGGCTACTACTTTCGGCCCGGCTCCGGCGCGGGCAAGGACTCGTGGCACGTCTTCCTGCCCTTCGGCGGATGGTGCACGACGCCCGGCGAGTGCGAATGGCGCGACACGATTGTCATTTCACCCTTTCCCATGTTTCCCCTGTGTTTCCCGTTAAACATCTCCCTCAGCCCGCCAGGCTACTACTTTCGGCCAGGATCCGGCGCGGGCAAGGACTCGTGGCACGTCTTTCTTCCCTTTGGCGGATGGTGCACGACGCCTGGCGAGTGCGAGTGGCGCGCCACGCAGATCCACTACGGCTCCACGAAGCCGGCACTGCAAGCCACCAACCCTTTCAACAACGTAAGTTCCCGAATCCGGTTCTTGAGAATTCTCCAAAACCAACTTGTCTCACGACGCCCGGCGAGTGCGAATGGCGCGCCACGCAGATCCACTACGGCTCCACGAAGCCGGCACCGCAAACCGGCAACCCTTTCAACAACGTACGCACCCTAGGGCTAGAACCCGTGAGCTCCTGGTTACCCGGGAGCGTTTTGAGGTTCTTTTCAAAAGGCGAAATCGGCACTGCAAGCCCCCAACTCGTTCAACAGCGTGATTCTCGAACGCTTTCGACTCCCTTTCTTTTGACTCTTGTTCGCTCCCTCGTTCTCCCCATTCCTGTAAGCTCCCCATTTCCTCCCTGTGTTTTGAACCGCAATGTCGAAAGTTACCGAGGCTCGACGACAACCTATTTACGCTTCACCAGCTCATTCTGAGTTCCCACCCTACGATTAAGTCGGCACAACCATAGGCAAGATCAGACAGTGATTGTATTACGAAACAGATTAGTGGCAGCAGTTTCAGTGGCATAAGCTCCCAAGCTACTGTCAAGTGCGACTTACGACGGCTTGGGCGTCACTGCTGCTCGTGCAAACCGATTTTTTTGAAGATATGGCACGTTCGACAATCTTCAGACAACAAAAGCCCCCTATCTCCTTCCCTCTTCTTCTCCGCTTCTCGCTTCTTTCTCCCTTTACACCGTTTCGCAGTACAGTCAACTTCCTCTGAATTTGTTTTCGCACGTCTGTCTCCCTGTTACCATGCACCAACAGGGTTCAACATGTATTAGAAAGAAGCTGCTGGGTTTAGTCCTTGAGTTAACACGTATTGCTGCTGGTTTATCTTACATGCAGTAGAGAGGGCATGAATTGGCGATGTTCTTTTTCGCAAATCTGCAAACCGAAATTCTTCCCTTTCGATAAATTTATGTGAATCCCTCTCCTATCCCTCCCTCCCTCCACGCGTTTGTTTTTCAACCCCAGGCCATGCAGGGGTACCGCGGAATTTTAAGTCTGAACAAGACGGAAAACCCGCGGTTTTACAACTGGAACTTAGTGATGCCAGTGTACTGCGACGGGGGTGGATTCGCGGGACGCGCGGGGTTCAAGAACGTGAGCGGAAGCGAAGGAGTGTATCTTTTGGGTTGGAGCATCATCAAAGCCGTTCTCACAGGTGGGTTAGCAAATCCCAGGGTTCTTTGTACCCGCCTCGGTGTGTCCCTTTTGACGCCAGTGTAAGAATTTGTTTGTGGGGTAGAGCAAAACTTGTATCTCACGGCTCACGAAATTTTCCTGCCCTTTATGAAACATTTTTTGGCACAGCTGATGTAACTGATTGTCGCGGGTTCTAAATCCCACTCCGTATAGCGCTTTTGTCGGGAAGTCGACGGGAGCAGACTCACCAGAAGCTCACATATGCTTCTCTATCCCACTACATCTGCCCACTCCCTGTTTTTTCTCCAGATGTAACCGACCGACGCGGTCTAAAGACGGCGCCGCATTTGCTGCTGTCGGGGGTCTCGACAGCAGCAGCACTACCAGAGTCTCACAACCCCCCTTTATCCCACTGTAATCCCCATTACCGACTTCTACTGCAGATGTAACGGACCGGCGCGGGCTGAAGACGGCGTCGCAGGTGCTGCTGTCGGGGGTGTCGGCGGGAGCAGAGGCGGTGGTGACTCTGTGCGACCAGCTGCCCGCCCTCGTGCCCTCCGCCAAAACCACCAAGTGCCTCATGGACTCTGGGTTTTTTCTTGGTCAGTATTCTGTCCAAATCTTTTGAAGAAACCCTGCTTTGCTTCCCTTCCACCACCAAGTGCCTCATGGACTCGGGCTTCTTCCACGGTGAGCGACATCTCACACCCCTCTTTCAATCGTAACCCTGGCCTCCCTTCAACCATCCACTGCCACGTGGACTCCTTTGAGCCGACTTTCCCTGTCCTTCTCCTCTTGGCTTCAACCCCCAAGTGCCTCGTGGACTCGGGATTCTTCCTCGGTACTAAATTATGCCTTTTATTCATGCATTGGCCTGGCCTCCATTCAACCACCAAGTGTTTCAACGGCTCTTGCTGTCGAAGTAGAACAGGTGGACTGCGGAGGCCTTATTTCCATCAACTCTTGCTGTTTAGGACAGAGAAACAAACCCCATGCAAGTGTCCCAAAGGCCCCCGCTTCTTTCCGTGGTGAGTCCACACTCTCTCCACCCTACCTTGCCTTTCACCGCCAAGTGCCTCATGGAATTTGGCCTTTTTTCTCAGTGAGTTCGGTTCCCACCTTTCCTGCTTCCACCAGCTTCCTCCTTGGTAAATTTCCCTTTTTTTTTTGTTTCTCTGCGATGAGTTGGACCCGGGCTCCTTCCTTAATTGTTGGCGAGAATCCAATCCAACATGAATAACTTGGATCTTCTCTGCTTATGCCACGTTGCAACTCCAACCACGAAAGCATCAGAGACCACCACGTTCAGCCTCTCCCCTCCTTTCCATCCAAACCCCCCCTCCCCTTGATCCCCCTCTCCCTTCTTCCACCGTTCCTGTCGCTCAGCTCCCCCCTTAACTCACCATCTTCGAGTTACCATCTTCAAATCACCTCTTTTGCTACCCATTTCACCTGTTCTCCAGACGCGCTTGACAGAAAAAAGAAGCACACATTCAAGAAAACCATTATCCGGATGGCGGCACTACATGACTTCATTGGCAACCCAAGATGTGCCAGAGGTAAGTGAGCTATAATGTGCACTATAGTCAATCAGATTTGGCACATTAAGAGGTACCGTAAGTATAGTGGTGAGAGCTAAGTATGCTGACACGTATTCAATGGTGCTGAATTAATCAGAGGTTTTTACAGATACGGGAACATTCATTTTAAATTAAAGCTACATTCTCTCCATATTTCTTGATCCTTGTCCATATGTGTACTCATGTTACTCCCGTGCAAACGCACTTTCGCAGCCCAAGACGCGACGAGCAAGTGGAAATGTTTCTTTCCGCAGCACGCGACCAAGTTCATCAAGTCGCAAGTCTTCATTGTCAACTCGCTCTTCGATATCAACGCGCTCATCCTCGGTAACCAGCTTCCCCCCATGAACCGAACCTACGCCATCAACTGCATAAACGAGGTTATGAGTATACCCGATTTGAAGAAAGAGATTGAGGCTAATACTACATCGCTTCAAGAACTTGCGGCGAAGAACGCAAACAAAAATTGCACATCGGCGGAGTCGCAGGCGATGATTGGGTTCGCACAGCAGCTGCTACAGGTTACAAGCTCGTTGAAATCAGCCAAGTTCAGCAGTTTTATACAGTACGCGCCTAATCATGGAATCATAAACTATGAAACCTGGAACACGTTTATCTCAAATGGTTTGAGTCTGAGGGAGACAGTAGAGAAATGGTACTTTGGATCTTGATTTGGGATTTTGTTACAAAACCATGTATTGTTGTGGCTGTATACGAGTATGAATAAAATGCTTGATTGCTAAACTGATCAAGGCTGAAGCCTTGTCCCTCACAAGTGAGACGTGAATCAGAAGCAGTAGGAGCAGAAGCAGGAGCAGAAGCACTAGATGCAGCAGAAGCAGATGCAGTAGGAGCAGAAGAGCGGAAGGAGGAGCGGAAACAGTAGGCAGAGTGAAGGGCACCGGCAGCAGTGGCAGCAGCAGCAGCAGCAGCAGACAAACGAAAACCTGTCTGATATGAGCCCAGCATTGCAATGCTAATGTATAGTAACGTTTGAAGCGCCTCAGATTTTGTTTAATAGCAGCACAGTGTTGGCACTGCAAAACAAACAGCTACGTACAAGTCTCATTCGCAAAAAAGGGCATCGCACTGTCTTAATGCTGTTAGCATCTCAACCTTACAGAATCTACCCGTAAGGAGTCCCAGCAATGTTTGCAATCGCTTTCTTAGCCAATCTCAACCTCTCTTCTAGAACCTTCTCCTCCTTCCCTCCCTTGCCCACACCTGCAGCTGCCCCCCCACCCTCACTCCCCCCCTCGCTCCTGATGTACTGTAGCAGTTGGCGTGTGGACGGCGCGTGTGACGAGAGGTGGGCGGCAAAGAAGAGGAGGATTCCGTCTCGTAGCGGGCCGAGGTTGGTTGGGCCGGCGATGCGGGAGAAGATGGACCAGAGGGTGACGGTTGGGAAGGAGGAGAGGAGGAAGAGGAAGAAGAGGCGGAAGTGGGTTGCTATGCGCGCATGCATCGCTGCTGGGTCTGCAAAATCCACAGGCTGGGGGGGAGAGGGGGGGGGGAGGGGGGGGGGGGGGGGGGGAGGGGGAGGGGAAGGGGAGGAAAGGGTAAGAAGATTGGGGGGAAAGAGGGAAGGACAAAATTCAGTCTCGTAGCGGGCCGAGGGTGATTGGGGGGATTGGAGAGGGGTGGGGGAAACCAAAGAACGCAATTGAGTGGAAGAAGTTGAGGAACCAGGGCACAACAAGAGAAGAGGGCACAGGGGGTGGCAGGGAGGAGACAGGGAGGAGAGCAGTAGAGGAAGAAGAGGCGGAAGTGCAGTGCTATCCATGCGTGCATGGCTGCTGGGCCTGCATGGCCGCGATCCGGACAGCGAGCTTAGTGAGAAGCAGTGAGTGGCAGGCTAGCTTGATACAGCATTGCCAGGAAAGCATGGAAGCTTGAGGAGTACAAGTGGCAGCGTGCCAGTGGCAGCGTGCCAGAGACAGCGTGCCAGAGACAGCGTGCCAGAGACAGCGTGCCAGAGACAGCGTGCCAGAGACAGCGTGCCAGAGACAGCGTGCCAGAGACAGCGTGCCAGAGACAGCGTGCCAGAGACAGCGTGCCAGAGACAGCGTGCCAGAGACAGCATGCGGTTGCTCTGGTTGGCAGCGTGCCGATCCGTTGAGGCAGAGGTGTGGCCAACTGAGCGAGGTGGAGTGAGCGGCGCGGCGGTTGGTTTAGCTTGCTGGCACACAGCAAGGCGTGTGATAGACTGCTGCAACAACAAGCACGGCTGTAGCAGAAAAGCATCGTACCTTGAGCAGCGCCAGAGACAGCGCGTGGTTGCCAACGATCTGGGCGGCAAACTGAGCGAGGTGGAGGGAGTGGCGAGGTGGAGGGAGTGGCGGGTTGGTTCAGCCAGCTGAGGGAGTGGCGGGTTGGTTCAGCCAGCTGAGGGAGTGGCGGGTTGGTTCAGCCAGCTGAGGGAGTGGCGGGTTGGTTCAGCCAGCTGAGGGAGTGGCGGGTTGGTTCAGCCAGCTGAGGGAGTGGCGGGTTGGTTCAGCCAGCTGAGGGAGTGGCGGGTTGGTTCAGCCAGCTGAGGGAGTGGCGGGTTGGTTCAGCCAGCTGAGGGAGTGGCGGGTTGGTTCAGCCAGCTCGCTTACGGGAAAGCTTCTGAACTCAAAAGTGACTCCAGAAAAACCAGGCACATGAGGGAAAGCACGGTACCTTGAGGAGCGCGAGGGAGAGCGCGTGGTTGCCGACAATCTGGGCGGCGAACTGAGCGAGGTGCAGTGAGCGGCGGGGGTCCATGTCAGGGAGCTGCTGGTAGTGGTCCCACAGGCAGTACTGCAGACTGAACTTGTGGCTCCGAGCATGCGAGCAGAGACGGGCGGCCAGCAGAGAGTAGTACTTGTTGAAGTGCCTTTCTTGGAGGCAACACTCCACTAGCACCCTCAGAATCTCCCGGTCCTGTGGTGATGGTAGAGAGAGGGACACAAAGACACAGGCGAGACTGCGTGAGGTGGAGTGAGAGGGCGGGAGTCCATGTCAGGGAGCTGTTGCTGCTGGTAGTGGTCCCACAGGCAGTACTGCAGACTGGACTTGTGACTCCGAGCATGCCCACATAAAAAGCCCAGCTAAGAGACTGTAGTACTTGTTGAAGTGTCGCTCCTGCATGCAACACTCCACTAGCACCCTCAGACTCTCCCGGTCCTGTGGTGAAGGGGAAGGGAAGAAGGGTGGGCGAAACAGCGGCACAAGTGCGATGTCGTGAGAGGGTGGGGTCGCATGGTAGTGGCAGGCTGGTAGCTGTTGCTGCTGCTGGTAGTGGACCCACAGGCAGTACTGCAGACTGAACTCCGAGCATGCCCACACAGCCGGCCGGTAAACAGACTGTAGTACTTGTTGAAGTGCCGCTCCTGCATACAGCACTCCACTAGCACTCGCAAGATCTCCCGGTCCTATGGTGGTGGTGTGGAAGCTTTTGAGTCGACTCAAAACCCGGTCCTATGGTGGTGGTGTGGAAGCTTTTGAGTCGACTCAAAACCCGGTCCTATGGTGGTGGTGTGGAAGCTTTTGAGTCGACTCAAAACCCGGTCCTATGGTGGTGGTGTGGAAGCTTTTGAGTCGACTCAAAACCCGGTCCTATGGTGGTGGTGTGGAAGCTTTTGAGTCGACTCAAAACCCGGTCCTATGGTGGTGGTGTGGAAGCTTTTGAGTCGACTCAAAACCCGGTCCTATGGTGGTGGTGTGGAAGCTTTTGAGTCGACTCAAAACCCGGTCCTATGGTGGTGGTGTGGAAGGGGGAGAGAGGGGAGGGGGAATCGGAGGCACAGGTGTGAAAGAGAGAGGTGGAGTGAGAGGGCAGGGGAGCATGTCCTGGTGATGGCAGCTGCTGCTCGTAGTGGTGGCGGCGGTCCCACAAGACAAGGTCAGTCAGGGGGGCTGAGAACGCACCTGCTTGCCCGGTAGACCCAGCCTGAGCAGTTTCTCGAAGGCATCGATATAGTCCTCGGCGCTCATAATCACACAGAACACCGCCCGCCTGGCGTCCGTGTTACTGCTGGTGGTGGTGGTGGTGGTAGGGGTTATGAGCATCACGGGCACAAGAACACACCTGTTTCCCTGGTAGTCCCAATCTCAACAGTTTCTCAAAGGCATCGATATAGTCCTCGGCGCTCATAATCACACAGAACACCGCCCGCCTGGCGTCTGTGTTCATCCTCTGCGCCGCTGCCAGCTGCATCAGCCTCTCAGCTTCCGCCACGTCAGCAGCGTTCAGCAGCGCGTTCCCCGCCAGCTGGACCGCCAGGCTGGCGCTGCCGCTGCCGCCCAGTGCTGCTGACGTGGCGGGTAGGGAGCCAAGGGGCTGGGAGGAGGAGGTTTGCCACCATTGGCCGTGCTTGTGCGGGTCAATCAGACGCTGCCACGTCAGCGACCGTAGCTGAACGGTTTCCACTGGACGCTGGGGGGAGAAAGGGGGACAGCAGGGGCATGCAGGAAGAAGGGGCAGGGAAGAGGAGGGATGAGAAGAAGGAAGAGGGAAGGGAGTGTGGGGGAAGGAACGGAAAGGGAAGGGAAGAATTGGGCCGATGGGAGGAAGAGGGAAGGGAAGAATTGGGCCGATGGGAGGAAGAGGGAAGGGAAGAATTGGGCCGATGGGAGGAAGAGGGAAGGGAAGAATTGGGCCGATGGGAGGAAGAGGGAAGGGAAGAATTGGGCCGATGGGAGGAAGAGGGAAGGGAAGAATTGGGCCGATGGGAGGAAGAGGGAAGGGAAGAATTGGGCCGATGGGAGGAAGAGGGAAGGGAAGAATTGGGCCGATGGGAGGAAGAGGGAAGGGAAGAATTGGGCCGATGGGAGGAAGAGGGAAGGGAAGAATTGGGCCGATGGGAGGAAGAGGGAAGGGAGTGTGGGGGAAGGGATGGAAGGGCGATTATGATTCATAACACACGAACGAGCGAGGGGGAGAGAGAAAGGGGGTGGTTCCTTTGCCTAAGCGTTTTTCTGCTACTGCAGCCCTTCGACCATGAGTTTGGGTGACCCGGGGGAGAGAGAAAGGGGGTGGTTCCTTTGCCTAAGCGTTTTTCTGCTACTGCAGCCCTTCGACCATGAGTTTGGGTGACCCGGGGGAGAGAGAAAGGGGGTGGTTCCTTTGCCTAAGCGTTTTTCTGCTACTGCAGCCCTTCGACCATGAGTTTGGGTGACCCGGGGGAGAGAGAAAGGGGGTGGTTCCTTTGCCTAAGCGTTTTTCTGCTACTGCAGCCCTTCGACCATGAGTTTGGGTGACCCGGGGGAGAGAGAAAGGGGGTGGTGACTGTTGTCGAAGTGCCACCCTCTAAACAGGCACTCCACATTCCACCACACCACATTTCACTGCACCACATTTCACTGCACCAGAACGCACCGCACCGCACTCACCTTAAGCAGCCATTTCTGCAGGCGGGAAACGGCCGTGCTGCCATCACTCGCCTCTGCTTCCCCACCTCCCTTCTTAAAAACGCTCACAGGCCATACAAAACCACACCACACCGCACCCCACCGCACTGCACTCACCTTGAGCAGCCACTTCTGCAGGCGGGAAACGGCCGTGCTGCCATCAATCGCCTCTGCTCCCCCCCCTCCCTTTGTAAACACGCTCACCGCCCCCTTCCCCTTCCCCTTCCCCGCAGCCCCTCCCCCTCCCGCTCCCCCTCCCCCTACAGCCGCCCCCCCTCCCCCCATGACTACTCCCCCTGCTCCCCCTGCCCCCCCTGTTCCTCCCATGGTCCCACTTCCTCCCCTGCGACCGGCGTTGCGTGGCGCTCGGTTGTTCTTGATGTCTGTGATTGTTTCGAGCATGAACTCGACCTGGGATAAGGGGTGGAGGAAGGTGGGTGCGAGGAAACTCGGAGTGAGTGACGATAGCAGACAGACAGTGCATGGGGTGACGCGTAGCGCTCAGTTGTGTTCTTGATGTCAGTGATGGTCTCGTGCCTCAACTCGACCTGCCATGGCTTAGGGTTTAGGGTTCAGGGGGTGACAACGCCGGGCAGTGCAGGTGCAGGGGGTGACACAAGAGGTCGGTTGTACCATCTTGTGAAGGTGCAGTTGCAGGTGCTCTGAACCAAGATGGTTCAGAGCACAAGAGGTATTGTGAGCACAAGATGGTTCAGAGCACAAGAGGTATTGTGAGCACAAGATGGTTCAGAGCACAAGAGGTATTGCGAGCACAAGATGGTTCAGAGCACAAGAGGTATTGTGAGCACAAGATGGTTCAGAGCACAAGAGGTATTGTGAGCACAAGATGGTTCAGAGCACAAGAGGTATTGTGAGCACAAGATGGTTCAGAGCACAAGAGGTATTGTGAGCACAAGATGGTTCAGAGCACAAGAGGTATTGTGAGCACAAGATGGTTCAGAGCACAAGAGGTATTGTGAGCACAAGATGGTTCAGAGCATACGAACGTTAGAGGACTATGAGCATGAACGCTACCCACCACGGGGGGTGAGAGGATTATGCAGCGCTGAGGATGAGGGATGATATGGGGGGTGGGTTGTAGGATGAGGGATGATATGGAAGGTGGGTGGTAGGATGAGGGGTGAAGAGTGACACATGGCGGTGACAATGCCAGAGTCACCATGAGTCACCCTCCACACCTCATCCTATGATCCTACCACCCCCGTTGCAAAGGCTGGTGTGGGGAGATCAGTAGATGTGTTTTGAGACAGTAAGTGCTGTTCTTGCTAAATACCTGCTATATTGGTGTTACTTTTGAGGATTCTCAAAAGTAACACCAAAGGCTGGCGTGGGGAGCGCAGTAGAAGTTTTTTCTTTATGAAAGTTAGTGCCGTTCCTGCTGAAAAACACAGCTGCCTTGGCTTGAGGCGCCTAAGAAGTTTGGAGGACTTTCGAGGCGCCTCTGCATGGCTAGAATGGTGAACTCGTTTGATTCACAGCCGAACCTTGCACATCTATGCACTCACCCGCTTGCTCAGCACTGGCACTGCCTTTGCAGCACCACCACCAGCACCACCACCAGAAGCACCACCAGCAGCGGCTTCGCTCTGTGCCTCCTGTGCTTGCCTCCGTATATCTGCCGCCTTGCTCTGAACAGCCAAGATAAACTCCTTCATTGCCACCGGGTCATGGGCTCTCAGGGAAAGCCCGCACGCTGGCATCGGGAGGGGAAGAGGGTGCGAAGGAGAGGAGGGGAGTTGGAGGGAAGTGAGAATGGAGTGAGTGGGTGGGGTGGGAGTATTCTTGCTGTTACTCTTCTACCTGCCTTGCACGGCCAACTTCTTCATCACTACAGGTTCGTCTATATTGAAATCACTTTTGAGAATTCTCAAAAGTGATATCACTACAGGTTCGTCGGTTCTCAGGGAAAGGCCGCATGCTGGTTTGGGGAGTGGAAGGAGCGGCGCGGCGGGAGAAAGGGGGGAAGAGGAAGTAGTGGGGACAGTGGGGTGGGTGGGAGTAAAATGCAGTTTAGTTGTGTTATTTGATGAAATCAGGAGGAAGAATGAAAGGGGGATGGAACAATTTTTTTTCACTGCCACAGGGTTGTTTGTTGGCTGTCTGTCGGAGCAAGGTTGCACACAGGAGTTGTGCGGGGAGTGGGGTGCAGGAAGTTGGGTCGGAGGGGATTGAGTGGAGGGGATAGTTGGGACAGTTTACTGCCAAAGGGTTGCTCCAACATTCATTCAAAACGGAACCTACACCATTACTTGGTTTTATTAGATACAAACAAATTAATATACGTACATATATTTAAAAGGTTTTCTTAATACTGTAGCTGCGTTATTGGGAAAATTGAATGGCTCTTGAAACTGGTTGTAACATCCAAAGACCCATTGATTATATTCTTTGCAAGCAAATACTCACACTGTAGCAAGTTAATCATGGCAGCAACATCGAGCTCTCTGAATCCCTCTGTAAGGCGAGCTAAAAACGAGTATATCACCTCCCTGTAAGGAGGAGGAGTGAAGATGAGATATGAAAAGGAGAAGAGTAGAGGCAGACAATGGGTCATTGATACTTTTGCAACAATAACCATAATCAAGAATGAATAGCACTCCTTCCAATGAGTACAGCACTACCTTTGCTGGGGTTGATCTTACCCCTTCAAAATGGATTTTTTTTTTTTTTTCTTTTCTTCTTCTCCTATCTTTCTGACTTTCAAAAGGCCATGTCAATAGGTTGTCTCTCAGAGCAGTCTGACAAACTCACGGCGCAAGCAGCTTGAATACGTAAAGGTAGGCGAGCAGCATGGTGAGATTGCGCAAGCCCAGAGCTTCATCTGCTTCGTATAGGGCCTGATGTCGGCGATGGGCGGGAGGAAGAGGAGGCGGATGCACGACATAATGCTTCAAATACATGCCTCCTCCCTTACCCACGGCGAGCAGCATGGTGAGTTTGCACAGACTAAAAAAATTGTCCGTTATATACAGGACTTGCAAATAATCATGGCAAATAAGCACATTTGGATTGGATTCAGTGAACAATAATGACAGAGAAGCCAATTATTGCCATCAGACAACAATGCAAAAAAAAACAGACATCAGTCATACAAGCACGTAAGGATTGGCTTCAGTGAACAATCAGCCTACCTCGGGGCGAGCATGTGCAAGGCAATGGATGCAGCATAGGTGCAGCAAGCAACTGTGATGCACTCACCTCGAAGCGAGTGGCAAGGGTGGCTGCGAAGTTGGCTGTAAAGTCGATCCCAACGGTGGCGGCCGTGGCAGCAACAAATGCCGCAAACACTGCTGCGTACCTGCAGGCAGGAGCGGGTGAGGGGACAGATCGTATCAGAGCGTCAGATTTGTGAGAATGTTAGACAATCTCTCACGAGGTTGATCCCAGCAGTGGAGGCAGTGGCAGCGCTGAACGCCGCAAACACTGCCGCGTACCTGCAGGCAGCAGCAGCAGGTGAGGAGGTAGAGGTGAGTGAAAGCACACGTCACAAGGGGCGGGCTGCTGAGGGTCCTCACTAATCTCTCTGAAAGTTAATCCCAATGGTGACGGCAGTGGCAGCGCTGAACGCCGCGAACACTGCCGCGTAACTGTAGGCAGCGGTGAGAGGACAGGTTGCAAGCGAATTGCAAGCGGGATGCACGAACAAATAAAATCATTGAAATTGTGAGAGCACGTGAAGTGACACAGAGCAAAAGGATGCAGCATCGCTCACTCATGTGATTCAGAAAGGAGTAGTTAGCGAGCAGTTGGGGAGGTCAAATGGATTTATTGAGAGAGGTGAGAAGATACGGCGGGTTTAGGTAAGATCAAAGAACGGAAGGCAAAGGGAGAAGGGATGATGAAAAAGGACAGAGGGGAAGATGGGTTTGTGGGGTAGCGCATAGGGAGTAGGGAGCATAGGGAGTAGGGAGCACATAAAGGGCATAGGGAGCATGACTGCATGGAACGTAACTGCTCGTTGCCGCGGGGTGCATTGGTGCACGCTGTTATGACCTCGTCTGTCACCAACTCTGCCACCAACGCGCGCTTGTGTAGCTGCATGGGAGGGAATGTGTGGGAAAGAGGGGAGGCGGTACGAAGGGGTAAGAGGGATAAGTGGGTTCAAGAGGGCTTAAGAGGGCTTAAGAGGGCTTAAGAGGGCTTAAGAGGGCTTAAGAGGGCTTAAGAGGGCTAAAGAGGGCTTAAGAGGGCTTAAGAGGGCTAAAGAGGGCTTAAGAGGGCTTAAGAGGGCTTAAGAGGGCTTAAGAGGGCTTAAGAGGGCTTAAGAGGGCTTAAGAGGGCTTAAGAGGGCTTAAGAGGGCTTAAGAGGGCTTAAGAGGGCTTAAGAGGGCTTAAGAGGGCTTAAGAGGGCTTAAGAGGGCTTAAGAGGGCTTAAGAGGGCTTAAGAGGGCTTAAGAGGGCTTAAGAGGGCTTAAGAGGGCTTAAGAGGGCTTAAGAGGGCTTAAGAGGGCTTAAGACGGCTTAAGAGGGCTTAAGACGGCTTAAGAGGGCTTAAGAGGGCTTAAGAGGGCTTAAGAGGGCTTAAGAGGGCTTAAGAGGGCTTAAGAGGGCTTAAGAGGGCTTAAGAGGGCTTAAGAGGGCTTAAGAGGGCTTAAGAGGGCTTAAGAGGGCTTAAGAGGGCTTAAGAGGGCTTAAGAGGGCTTAAGAGGGCTTAAGAGGGCTTAAGAGGGCTTAAGAGGGCTTAAGAGGGCTTAAGAGGGCTTAAGAGGGCTTAAGAGGGCTTAAGAGGGCTTAAGAGGGCTTAAGAGGGCTTAAGAGGGCTTAAGAGGGCTTAAGAGGGCTTAAGAGGGCTTAAGAGGGCTTAAGAGGGCTTAAGAGGGCTTAAGAGGGCTTAAGAGGGCTTAAGAGGGCTTAAGAGGGCTTAAGAGGGCTTAAGAGGGCTTAAGAGGGCTTAAGAGGGCTTAAGAGGGCTTAAGAGGGCTTAAGAGGGCTTAAGAGGGCTTAAGAGGGCTTAAGAGGGCTTAAGAGGGCTTAAGAGGGCTTAAGAGGGCTTAAGAGGGCTTAAGAGGGCTTAAGAGGGCTTAAGAGGGCTTAAGAGGGCTTAAGAGGGCTTAAGAGGGGGTAACAAGAACCCAAGAGGGGGGGGAGCACGGGGAAGAGAGGTTGTGGCAAAGCGCCACTGTGAATCCCGAAACAGAAATGCTCATTGCTGTGGGGCGGTGCGTTCATGCGCTCCGTGACACGCCATGCCATGCCATGCCTGCCATGCCATGCCATACCGTCCCATGCCATGCAATGTCATGTCATGCCATGCCATAGTATGCTGGGAGATGCAAGAGGGGAGGTTTATCTTGGCATGACATGGTCAGAAACGGAACAGAGCAGCGAGCCGACCTGAAAGAGCGTGCTGACGTCAGAGCTGATGGCATCCACGTTGGACTCTGAGAGGCGATTCAAAAGACCTGCGGGAAAAAAAAAAAAAAAGAGGAGGGGAAAGTGGGGGTAAGTACAGGGCAGAGGGAAGGGGGGAGGCAGAGGGGGAAGGTACTGGGGGAAGGCAGTTCTAGAGACTTGCAGGCAACATTGTAAAGGGGGAGGGAGAGGGGGGTCATTGTGACGGGGAGAGGAGTGGTGTGGGGAAGAGCCATGTGGGGAAAGTCACTCTTGAGAATTAGCAGGAGTGCAGAGGTCAAAATTTCTACAAGCCCCTTAACCTTTCAAGAAGATGCTTGGACTAGAAATTAATCGGAATGGAATAAAAAATACCATGAAGGGTAAGAAGATCTTAGCACACGTCCTCGCGTAACCCCATGTGCACACGTCCTTGCGTAACCCCATGTGGAGATCAAGCAAGTCGCTGAATCAATAGAAACAGAAGACCCTCGGATCGAATCACTCGCTGCTGCTGCCCATCAGCATCGTCCTCCTTTTTTCGGGTGTTTTTGAGAATTCTCAAAAACACCCTGCAGATCACTTGCTGTTGCTGCCCATCAACATCGTCCTCCTTCTTTGCTCCTCCTGCTCTTCTGCTGTACTTCCTTCTGTCACCTCTCAGCCGTCAGATCATGCCACACTCACCTCTCAGCCATCCGATCATGCAGCGCTCACCCTTCAGCCGTCGGATCACCCGCTGCCGCTCAGCAGCATCGTCCTCGCCCCCTGCTCCTGCTACCGCTGCTCGTCTCAAATGAGGCGGCACGTATTTGCCCCCCTCTCCTACTTTTTGATTCGCCACAGCACTTGTGCGCTTTTCTCCTTCCGCTGCTGCTGCTCCACCCACCTCTTCCTCCTCGTCCTCCCGCTCCTCCCCTTCCTCCTCCTCTTCTTCCTCTCCCTCCTCCCCCTCCTCTCCGTCCTCACTACCATCACCTGACCACTCCCCATCCTCCTCAACAAAACCCAGCAATTCCTCTTCCTCCTCCTCCATCTCTCCCTCCTCTCCTTCCTCCCCTTCCTCCCCTTCCTCTCCCTCCTCTCCCTCCTCACCCTCCTCTCCCTCCTCCCCTTCTTCCCCTTCCTCTCCTTCCTCGCTCTCCTCCTCCCCATTCTCCATCCCATCCTCACTATAATCCTCCTCACTAAACCCTTCCAAACCCTCCTCTTCTTCATCCTCATCCTCATCTTCTGAATCCCCTAAACCTACCTCCATCCCACCCCACCCATCCTCCTCATCACTCCCCCCAAATCCTAAAAACCCTTCCAAACCATCCTTAGACCCCGGCAAAACCCCACCTTTCACATTCAGCTTTTTAGCAAGCCGCCTCTCCTCCTCCTCCTCCTCTCTCACAGTCATCCCTCCATTCTCTTCCATCTCTAAGAGCCTCTCAAAGTTGGTCATCCTCCTCCTCTTCACCTCCCTCTCCTCCCCACTCTTTCCCTCTCTCTTCCCCTCTTTCTTTCCTTCCTTCTTCCCTTCTTTAATCCCTTCGCTCTTCTCTGCGTTCGCTCCCTCTTTCTTCCCCTCCTTCGCCCCCTCTCTTGCTCCTGCCTTCGTGCCCTTCCCCTCAGCTACTTCTTTCGCCCCTCGCTGCCTCGTTTCCTCCCCTACTGCACCCCCCTGTCCCCCCGCCATCCCTTTCCCCCCTCCACTCGCCACCACCGCCGCTTTTCTCTTTCCGCCAACAGTCGTACTTCCGCTTTTTCCCGCTGCTACAGTGCCATTTTGTCCTATTCGACCAGCCTCTGTCGTTGCACTCTGCTTTCCGCCCACCCCCTTCCCCCGTGCACCTGATCCCGTGTCCCCTTCCGCGCCCTTCGCGCTTCCCCCTGCGCCTCCCCCTGCGCTCCCCCCTTTCCGCCCCCCCGCACGCTGCTGCGCCCATTCCTGCCGCTTCTGCTGCTTCTTTTGCCGCTGCTGCCGCCGCTGCTCCTTCCGCGATAAACCCTTTTTGCGCGGTAAACCCGAAACCCTGCCCGCATCATCGTCTGCGTGATAGCAACAGGCAGGACAAACAAGAACAACAAAATTCTAAGGCGACTCGCCCTTTCGATTCTAAAATGCAATCAAAAGTCTGTCACCTGGAAATAATAATAAAATTAGTAGCTATTAACAAGAAGAGGACGTGGAAGCAATCTGGCGGCAGCCTACCCGATAGCGCCACGTCATCGTCGTCATCGCCGGGCTCTTGGAGCTGCTGCTGAAGAGCGAAGGGCAGCGACGGGCCACGTGGCGGGCCACGTGGCGCGAAGCGGCCTCCCGGGCGGCCCATCCGACTATTCCTCGCCGTGCGTCACTGTACCGGACTGAATTCCTGCAATCACCTGGGCGTGACTGAACCGTATTCGACGGCCTAAGTTTCACGACGGTGCTCTAGAAGAACCGGGAAGACGCGCGTCCGCGGACAAATCACTGGTGTTGCTCGCGTTCAGAGGGAGCTTTCGTTTTCATGAAAAAACTTTACGTTGGATCGTTGCTTTGTAAAGATAGAATACGAATCACACAGCAAAATACAGCTTTGAAGACACCTGTAAAGGGAGAATTGTACTCGATATTATGAACTTGGTGGGTCGTCAACACCAGATTTTTACGAGGCAGGTTGAAATGAGGGCAGGTATGATGCGCATTATTTCTGGGTCCGTGAAACGAGGTATTCAAACCAGCAAATGTGAAACCTGCACGAGCTTCACCACCAGGACAAGTGTTGACCCTGAACGAGTTGGGAAGCATCAGCAGCGTTCGCATCTACATCAGCACCAGGACAGGGCTGAGCAACTACCGGTATCGCCATTGAATGCCAGAATTGCAGGCTACTGAACATGGCTTTGAGTGGCACATCAAGAATGCAATCTGGCAACTACCGGTAATACGGTATCCATTCCACCCAGTACTACACTTACAAGCTCCTCAACGGGGCCCTGACCTTAAAAGGTCATACAATTCCTAATTCCAGATTTCTACTGCATCCAACTAAGCTCACAGCAGAACCATGGCTTCAAAACGAAGCACACATAGCCTGGCTTCCAGCTTCAACCCAGACCACTTTCCGTGCCTCCCAAGTCCTGCCCAATCCCCTTCCACAGCAGCAACCAACCAGAGTCTTTCTCGCAGTGACTATTGATTTGACGAAAGGAGATAATCCGACTACGTAAAGGCCATGTCTTCTAGACCGCACCAGCAGCAGCACTGGCAGCAAGGCTTTCCTCGTACGCCGTCCACCCAGCCTCGCGATACTTCCTGGCAGCTTCCAGCGGGTCGGCCGCCTTGATGATTCCCCGGCCCACAATAATAATGTCGGAGCCGCGCTGCTTGATCACCTGGGGGTGGGAAGGGGTTGAGGGGGGTATGAGAGGGGTGGGGGGGGGTGGGCGGTGCAAGGGAAGAATGTGAACCACCAATGGGTCCGTCCCACTATGATGACATCAGTCAGACCCTCGCTGCTTGATCAGCTGGGGAAGGGAGAGGGCGAGGAAGGGGGGGCGAGGAAGGGGGGGCGAGGAAGGGGGGGCGAGGAAGGGGGGGCGAGGAAGGGGGGGCGAGGAAGGGGGGGCGAGGAAGGGGGGGCGAGGAAGGGGGGGCGAGGAAGGGGGGGCGAGGAAGGGGGGGCGAGGAAGGGGGGGCGAGGAAGGGGGGGCGAGGAAGGGGGGGCGAGGAAGGGGGGGCGAGGAAGGGGGGGCGAGGAAGGGGGGGCGAGGAAGGGGGGGCGAGGAAGGGGGGGCGAGGAAGGGGGGGCGAGGAAGGGGGGGCGAGGAAGGGGGGGCGAGACGAACGGGTAGCGTTTTGAGTCGAGGTGACTTTTGAGTCGACTCAAGAGTCACCGCTCGACTCAAGAGTCACCTCGACTCAAAAGTCACCTTGGTAGCGAGATTCGGACGAGTCTACAACCTACTACGGTGATGCCGCGTGTAAAAAGTGTATTTTGGAGACGACTCAGAAATACACTTTTTACATGCAACCTGCGACGGTGATATTGAACCCTTGCAGCTTCATCACCACCACACCACTCCCACCGTTCATTCAACTCACCGCGTCTGGAGTGTTGTATTGCTGTCCCAGCGCGTCCCCCCCAGCAGCCAGCTGCACGCCTGGCGTCATGTGCACCAACGTATCCCACATCCCTGCCGCCTCCGCCTCCCTCACTGCCGCTGCCAGCTCCTCACACGCTGCACCTCCAGCAGCGGCAGCAGTGGCACCACTACGCCACCCCCCTGGGTGGATGGAGATGAATCCGATGACATAGTCCGAGTGGGTGAGCGCCATTCTCAGCATTGAAGCGGTGTAGGTGGAGTGGGCCAGGGTGCCTGCTGAACTCATTTCCGCCAGCAGGAGAAGGGAACCTCCCTGGTGGGGGGTGGGTGGGGGCAGGAGGGAAAGGGAGGGAGGTGGGTGGGTGAGCAGCAGCAGCAGCACCAACGGACGGTACCACCACTGGTGGCGGCAGCAGTGGAGTTGAAGATGAAGCCAACCCCCCGGGTGGATGGAGATGAAGCCAATCACATAGTCCGGATCGGTGAGAGCCATTCGGAGAGTGGCGGCGGTGTAGGTGGAGTGGGCCAGGGTGCCTGCTGAACTCATCTCGGCTAGGAGGAATACGGAGCCGCCCTGAGAGGGGGGTGTGGGGGAAGTGGGCGGGGGAGGGTTGGTGAGCCACCATTCACAGCGTGGCAGCCGTGTAGGTGGAGTGGGCTAGGGTTCCTGCCCAGCTCATCTCGGCCAGCAGCAGGAGAGAGCCACCCTGATATGGGGGGGCGGAACGAAGGGGAAACGGGCAGGGAGGGTGGGTTGCAGCACGGTTGCCGCGCACTAGGACACCCTCGCTGATATACCACACACACCACACTGCACCGCTCCCCGTCCAGGGAGGGTGGGTTGCAGGTGCACTACACCACACTGCACCGCTCCCCGTCCAGCCTTACCTTTTGCTTGAGTCCCTGGATAATGCCTGGTCCCGGCACGCCATAGGCGTTGATGATGTCAGCCCATTCGGCGATCTTGGGCCCATGCACATAGCGGCACACACGTGACCCCCCACCTTACTCCATCGCACCCCGTCCCACTTCCACCGCACACCATCGTGCCTCACCTTCTGCTTGAGCCCCTGAATGATGCCTGGCCCCGGCACACCATGCGCGTTGATAATGTCAGCCCATTCTGAGATCTTGTAGATGCCCCTGTGAGCAACGAGGGGAAGGGGGGGGGAAGGGAGAGGTGGGGAGGAGAGAAGGGCACAGATGATGCCTGGCAGCGGCACACCATGTGCGTTGATGATGTCAGCCCATTCTAAGATCTTGTAGATTCCCCTGTGCACAGACGTATGAGGAAAAGTGGGGGTACAAGTGATAGTGAGAGCGAGACAGAGTAAGAGTGAGAGTGAGAGTGAGATGGAGAGTGTTAGTGAGCGTGAGAGTGAGAAAGGGAACAAGAGTGTAGATGGCCCTGTGCACAGCAGTAGGAGTAAAAGTGGGAGTAAGAGGAGTCAGAGTGAGGGTACCAGGAATGAGATTGAGAGTAGTAGTGAGGGGTGAGAGTAAGAGTGAGTGTAAGAACAGCGATAACGGACATGGCATATCAAGGGGGTTTGATGTGGAACGGGGGGATGACAAACAGAAGCGGAGCCCCACCGCACAAGAAGCACTCACCCGCTGTACTGCATGGTAACCGTGTTACCAATGTCTGCAAACTTGCGGTCCTCAAACACCAGGAAGTCCAGCCGCGTGGCGATCTGCAGCAGCAGGAGGAGGAGACGGAGGAAAGAGGCAGGGAGGGAGGGAGGGAGAGACGTGAGCAGAGGAGGGCAGAGGAGGTCAAGTCACTTGGGCTTGCAAACTTGCACTCCTCACACACTAGGAAGTCCAGCCACGTGGCGATCTGTAGCGAGAGGAGCAGAGCAGGGGGGGAGCGGAGCGGCACAGAGACAGGGAGGGAGGGGGAAGGGGTGAATGGGTTGGCAAACTTGCAGTCCTCAAACACCAGGAAGTCCAGGCGCGTGGCGATCTGCAATATCAGAGGAGAGAGAGCGCGAGAAAGAGGTGCTTAGAACGTTCAATATCAAGACCATCTGAGAGGCACTTAGAGGATGGTGCCCCAAAAGACCAGGCAGACAGTGATGAAACAACGGCGAACATGAATACCTATGCCAAAAACCATACAATTGCTCGTCACCGCACACAGCCTCTCCTTGCCACACAGCACCACACAGCCAAACAGCCACGCACCACCACACAGCACCACACGGCACCACACAGCACCGCGCGGCGCCGCTCACCTCGCGGATGCGCTTGCCGAACTCGGGAGTGAAATCAGGAAGAATGTCCACGTGGGTCTTGAGGACGCAGATCTCCGACCCGATCTGCACGTGGGACACGCAATGGGGTGGGGGGTTGGGATGGGGGGTGGGGTTCTATGGGGAGGGGAAGGGGACACACAACAGGGGCATGGGAGAAAGTCCACATGCGTCTTGAGGGCACAGATCTCCGACCCAATCTGCAAGGGGGGTGGGGGAGGACGGGTGGAAGCACACAGATCTCTGACCCGATCTAAGGGTGAGGTTTGGGGGAAAGGCATGGGGTTTAAGAGGAAAAACAAGCAGAGTTTTAAGCAGAATGTCCTTGTGGGTCTTGAGGGCACTGATCTCCCATACGATTCACGTGTTGCGTTGGAAGAAGCGGGTAATGTTGGGAGGTAAGGGTTGAGGGTTTTGGAACGAGCGTTCGGGGTTCTGTGAGAAAAACGAGTTTTGGATTCAAAATCTCGTGTTTGGAACAGAAGGGGCGTGCGAAAAGAGGGAAGGGAGAGGGAAGGGGGGAATGGAAGGCGGGCCTTCGCCTGTGTGCTAAGTATGTAACCCAGAACCTATGCATACGAGATTGGTTTAGTAATCTCAAGAACCTATGACCATGATTGCAAGCGCAAAATATTAGTGTATTCTTCCCCTTGTTCCTTTCACCTTTCTCCCCCCCTTAACCACCATCCCCTCCCCTCCCCCCCCCCGCCAAAACGTTCCGCTCGCCCCGCCGCCTGCTCACCATTTCCGCCAGCTGACCCGCGGACATAGTACCGCTTCTTCCCCCCACCCCGTCTCCCCTCTCCACCCCCCTCCCCCCGCGCCTGCTCACCGTTTCCGCCAGCTTGAGCAGTTCTTCCGCCGACTCCACGTCAGCAGCCACCGACAGGTTTGTCTTTTTCCGCTCCATGATCTCCCACAGCCGCCGCCCCACCTCATTCTTCGCCAGGGCCGCGCGAGCGGCGTACGACTTTCGCGAAGGAGCGGCGGTTACAGGGGTAACGGTTACAGCAGGGGCAGGGGCAGCGGCGAGGGCAACGGCGGGGGCAGCGGCGGGATTTGCGGTTTGATTCTCCGCGATGAATTTGGTGACGGACTCTGCCACGTCATTGGTCAGCTTGCCGTGCTTGACCAATGCCGTGACGACATGTGTCAGCGTCAGCGCCGCGTGGAGCCGCAGCCCCCGCGCCGCGAGATGCGCGGCGCCGCCTTGTTCCCTATCGATAAGGACAACCACGTCGGTTACTTTTAACCCCACTTCGTTAAGCGGTTCTACAGTTTCCATAACGGAGGCTCCGCTTGTAACGAGGTCCTCAATAACGAGGCAATGCTGGCCGGTCTGGAAGGCCCCTTCGATGGCCTTCCGCGTGCCGTACCCTTTCACCTCCTTCCTTCGCATGACCATCGGCACGTTTCGCGAGAGCGAAATGGCCGTGGCGATGGGTAACGCGGTGTACGGCACTCCGCAGACGTTGTCGAATTTCGCAGCGGCGTCGGATTCGCCGATGACCGACGGGCACACGAGCGCCCACATCGCATCGGCCACCTGCTGCAGCAGCTTTGGATACGATACGATCACGCGCAGATCTATGTAAATCGGCGACCATATTCCGCTCTTAAGCTTAAAACTGCCGAATTTCACGGCCTCGACTTCGTGCAACGCCAGCACGAGCGCATCGGACGGATCAGCCATTGGCGGAAGCGGGCAGTAGGGGGTTTCGACGAGATCGGACGGTCGAGATTCGTCGCTCGCGACGACTGATTGGCTCGAGGCGCTGGCCGCGGGAGTGACGTTTGCGGAACGGTTTTTCCGCGCGTAGGCGGATGGGGATTGCGCAAACGGGGCTAGCTGTTCCGCGGGGTGCGCTTTCCGCAATGCGGATGTTCCGCGGGAAATAGGGCTAGCGCGCGGAGGAGAGGGGCACCGCGCGAACGCAGGAGAGCGGGACGCGGGGTCAGCAATAGGGGAGGAAGAGGCGCTACTTCTCGAAGTAATGGGGCGCGAGCTTGGGGGAAGAGAAGCCATGAACTGAAAGCTAGAAATAAGGCTGGGCCGCCATTGAATAGGGTGGGAGGAGTGGAGGCGCAGAAAGGGCAGGAGGAGGGGCAGGGGATGGCCTCGAGGGGGACAGGGTATTGGCATTGGGATTTTGAGATTTGTGGAGGAGGCTTTGGTGGGGTGCGGTGGTGCTGGGTGGCTTGCTAATTCAGTGCCTGTTTGGCGGGTGCGTGCTGGAAGGCATAAGATTCGATGACAGCACATGCCGAGCTCGTTACAGGAATGACTCGCTTGGGATAGCGGTTTAGGCCCAAAATGCTCAGGGGGTACACATTTGTCATAACTAGCCGTTATCCTACCCTAATTAATTTCCTCCACAACATTCTCCATGCATCCACTCCCATGTGCCATATCACTTCTCATCACCACTATGCCCAACGCAACTCTTCCCACATGCTCGACACGGAGCCAAGCCAACCCCTCCCCCCAGTGCTCCCATCTTCACCATTTCATCCCATCCCGATCGAACAGAAACCCTGGAACAACCAAATTCCCGTAACATGGATAATAATAATGCAGCCAGAAAACTGCCAAAAACACAATTGTGACCATGCTGACTCGCTCACTCACTCCTATGCTCGCTTTCACCACCTGATTCTCCTCTTTCTCTCACCCCACCCTCATCTCCCACCTCTCCCTCCCCGCCCCCACAGTCCCCATGACAGTGCTTCGCATGTCCATGCCTGTGCCTCCTTCTCCTCCTCCCACTGCTCCCGCCTTCACCACTCCCCTCTGATCCCATCGGTATAGAAGAGGAAGAAGGAGCAGAACCATTTGCATCTGCTGATCCTTCTCTCAGCCCCTCTGCACTCCCTGACCTGCCAGCATCTGAACTTGCCTCTCCCATGCCTCTTGCATCATCCCCTCCTCTTCCCACCCCTTTATTGTCACCGTCGCTGTTGTCACTCTCGCTGTCACTGCTGCTACTACTGCTGCTGCTGCTGCTCTCACCAAAGGGCCGCTGCTTGTGGAAAATGCAGCACTCTATACAGGGGACGAGGGGGGTTGTGGGGAAGGTGCAGGGGTAGAAGAGAAGAGTTTCAGGGTGGTTATAAGAGCTCTCAACAACAGCCTGTAGCTTGCGGAAAACGAGGCGCTCTATATGGAGACGTGGGGACGTGGGGAAAGGAGCAGAACAGGTGTAGGCAAAGGAAGAGAGTCCAAATCGGAAAGAAAGGAGCAAGCTAGACAGCCTCATAAGACACATCACACACGCATATGCTGCACAAAAAGACAGACACTCACTCTTTGACCCTCTTTTGTTGAAATGCTCGTTTTTCACTATTCCCTTCCTCCAATGCACTCTCCCCTGCGACGTTCGGGTCGACTCAAATCACATGATGCACGGATGCATACCATGCATGAGTAGAGACACACTCACTCTTTGAGTTCTTCCTGTTCAGATGCTCGTTATCCACCGTTTCCTCCGTCCACTGCACTCTCCGCCGCGGAGCCAATCGGATCACCACCTGATCCACCACGGCTGCTTGGACGGTCCAGATTGAAGGAACAACAAATGCAAGGGGAGAGATCAGGTTGGGCAGTCCGAACTGTTGTGGCGATTGAATCGCCACCACTGGATCATGCACACAGTTGATGTGGACGGTGAACGCACGAGGGCAGGTGAAGCAGATCTGGGGTTCCGCTTCTTTTAAGACTGCAGGCACCTTCGTTCCTCTTAGCCTATTGAAAACTCAAGACTGCTCAGGAACACGGCAGGATTTGTCACCTGTTCGATCCGTTACTGTTACCGCTGCGTTGCGAGTTTTAGTAGCCGTTTGGCTAGCCATGCTGCGAGCTTTACGATGTCTCAAATCTGGTTACCTGCTTGCTCGGTGATTGTTACTGCAGCTGCATTCCTCGTAACCGTTTGGTTTGCCATGCTGAGCTCGATCCAAAGCTCCGACGAACACGAAGAATCAGCGTGAAGACGACTCAAGAGTGACTGGATGAGAAGGAGACTCTAAGAACGATCCCGACCAACTACGGTAGCCTAAGAAAACATGATTCTCGTGCTTTGGCAATACGCTCAGCACCTAAGGAGCACTACCGCATTCACCAAGATTTCTACTATCATTCGGGTGGTTCTACAAACAGCTAGACAAACACGTTCCGCTGGTCGCAAGGAGAGCCAAGGGGCATCGCATCGTTTATTACGGCACGGGCACTCGCGGATCATCGACGAACTACAGTCGATGCTCACCCTATCACAAAAACAATGCTTATTACAATTACAAAATTACTCACTCGCTCCCGTGATGTGACTGAACTGAGCATTATGAAGTTTTCGTTGTACAGTCACGTATGTGCGGAAGTCAATATCTACAGTGCGTAAACAACAAAGGATACACGTCATCAGAGTGGTGACCTGGTTACGAAATTAAAACCCCGCATTCCACTTTCATTGCACTTTCATTTTTGAGTCACAATTTTGCCTGGGGCGACGTGGGCGAAAGCACGGGCGAATGAACGAAATGTTAAAACTCGTTCCACTCAAATGCCGCCCGCCTACCTGGTGTTCTTGTAATGGGCACCGACTGTACTAGAAAATTCCAGAGCTCCCTATGTCAGCGTTGATTGGGACTCGGGAGGCACTGAGTGTTGATACAGGTTGGTGGGTGGGACGGAGTGTTGCATTGCATGTCTGGTTGGACGGGGAGGGCCTCTGCGTGTCGGTTCGCGAAAACGCAGAGAAACTCAGGATTTCGCTCTTTGTCGCGAAGGATTGCTCCCTGGGGATCTCAGGCACATTTTGAAAGCCCATGCGAATGCGCTCGAGCGGATGAAATCTGGTGACGCTGCGGGCCATTTTGTTCGTTTGATTCGTCCGCCAATGGCAGATGAGCGAGTAATGAGGAGTCCATCCCGCGCGTTCGAGCTAGGTTCGAGCTACTGTAGGAGGATTTCATTATCTTTCACAGAATATTCAGCGAGAAGTGTTACCCGAAAAAAAAGTCTGGATTTCCTCGGTACATACGGATGCTGGAGGAAACGAATCCTCCAACTCCCCGTGTTGGAGGATTCGTGTTGGAGGAATGAGCTGGCAAGCTGACCGCGGGCAGAAAAAAACTAAACCCCATCGCGACCGGCATGCCATTCGGGAGCCTCAACCCTAAAATTTTAGGGTTTAGGCTCCCGAAGGCATGCCGGTCACGATGGGGTTTATTTTTTTTTTTCTTGACCGCGTTCTGCTCGCTGACTCGATTAGCTGGCAGTCGAATGAACCTTTCAGCGTCCGCGCTGCGCCCCAAGGGTTCTAACCGAACGCCTTCCCGGCTTTAGCGGCGCGGGCCAAGCTCGATTATGTCGCACCAGCGATGTTCCTTGTCTCCTCTTCCTCGCCATGTTCCTGGTTCTCGAAGAATCGCTTTCCCCACAAAAGGCCGCGGCGCCCGTGGATAGTCGACTCCTAATTCACGTGGGCCAATCGATGCGATATTCGTTTTTAACGATTCGCTTCTGAATGTGGGAAACAATAGCTACTAAGGGATGTCACTGGTGATTTTTAAGTCGACTCGAGAGTCTTCTGGACGTGGGAATTGACAACAAGAACAACGGGATGTCCGCGCTTACGCTCAACATCCCGCCGTAAGGAATGAACTACTTCCCTCAGGTAGCGTGCGCGACGGCAAGATTACCATCGACTTTTCAGGTGAGCGATTACGGCCGTTTGATATAACTATCTTCAGAAGTTCTGCTACTGCTAATGCCAGAAGTTTAATTCTGCCGAACCCGTTTGTCGGTGTGTTTCGGTTCGCAGTTTTGACGGTTTCTTTGCAGTTCCCACGTACACGAGTTTTTCCGAGTTTAGGGTTTCCGAGTGAAATCATTGCTTTGTCGCTGCTCCTCTCAAGACACCCGCCGTTTTGCCTCCCCGCCTGCTCCCTGCAGCGGAGCGGGCGGGCCTGTAAGAACCCATGTGTTTTTCCTCCCCACCTGCGCTCCAGGTATCTCCGCGCTTCAGGTATCTCCGCGCTCCAGGTATCTCCGCGCTCCAGGTATCTCCGCGCTGCAGGTATCTCCGCGCTCCAGGTATCTCCGCGCTTCAGGTATCTCCGCGCTTCAGGTATCTCTTGAGCTACTCGGAAACACCCGCCGTTTGCTTCCACACCTGCTACTCCCATGCAGCGAAGCGGTTGGGCTTCCCCTTGACACCTCCGCCGTACCTTGAACCGAACCAGAATGTGATGCTCGGAGTCAGGTTCGGCAGCATTTGGATTGTAGCTTAACCTTACCGGATACGTGAGTGAGTCGACACGCATCCAAATCCACACGATACGAATTTTGGCCTAACATGCCTTTAGGGGGGGTGGGGGGGAAGCGAAGGAGGGGAGAGGGGGGGAACGGGGGCTGGGGGGTGACTTTTTTTGTGGGAGGGGGGAAGGACGGGGGGTGGGGGGAGAAGGGGGGGAGGGGAGGAGGGGGGGGGGGGAATGGGTGGGTGGTGGAGGGGCTGTGGGGGAAAACGGGGGTGGGTGGGTGGGTGGTGGAGGGAGGAGGAGGGGGGTGCAGCGGAGGGAGGGTGGGTGGTGGAAAGAGGAGGGGAGGGGCGAAGGGGGATGGGGGGGGGGGGGAGGGGGGGGGAGAGGGGGGGGGGAAATGGGCAGCATCCGTCTTTGTGCCTGTCCAGGTGATTTTAAATGTTGAGATGTCCAGGTGTCCAGGTGATTTTAGAATCGGCTGAGGCGACTTTTGATTCCAGGTTACTTATGAGTCGGCTTCAAAGTATCTCCATCCGCCTTCCCCACCGCCCTCTTCTACATAGTCATCCTTTGTGTCATGTCATGTCATTTTCAACAAACAGCTACCGCCGTATCTCCTTCTCCCAGCGCCGCTCTCTGTTCTCTCTGTGTCCCTGCCCCCCTCCCTCCATGTGCTCTTCCCTCCCAACAGACCACTCCCGCGCCTTTCAAGCATCCGAGCAGCTACAGGTGTTACTTTTGAGAATTCTTAAAAGCAGCTCCGGAGGTGTGACGAGCAGCTTTAGTGGTGTGACGAGATACGGATACAGGGCGCAGCTCCAAGCATCGACTAGATAAGCCTACCAGGCCGATGCAAGGGCTCCACCGCAGCTGTCTGCGACAACGGTCTCCTGCCTGCTGTCCCCTCCGCCGTCTCCACCGCAACGCAACCAGCCCAGTTTCAATTCCACCAACAACGACACAAGCCTCCAGCTTTGACTGCTTCGTTCTCTTCGTCGAGGCGGGGAGAAGATCGACGAGAGGAGCAGACGAGAAGAGCAGACGCCAGCCAGGCTTGCCAGGCTTGCCAGGCTTGCCAGGCTTGCCCAAGGCGGAAAGCAAGTGCAGGCGTTTGCTTCGGCTGTGGTGTCTGAGGTGGAAGCCCACGTGCAGGCTTTGTATTCTCACGATGGGAGGCGTTGCAGCCAGCAGAGAAGCAGGGGGAGTGTGTGGGCGTGATAAATGGATATGCCCAGCCCCTGGAGCATATCAAGCAGCTGGCTGCTATGCGAATGCTCTTTCTGGCCTGCTGAAGTCCCTCCACGCCTGGAAAGTTGCGCTCCCTATGCAGGATATGCTAGGCCAGGGAGCATAACAAGCAGCTGGCTGCTACTGCTCTTTCTGGCCCATGGACGTCGCTCCATGCTTGGATAGTTGTGCTCGCTAAGACGTATACTTTTCTGGAGACAGATGTTCGGTTCTGGAGGCTGCTTTCACTGGGCTGGACGCATGCAACGCAATGCTGATGAATGAGTCAGTTGCATTCTGTGTTGTTCTCATTGTGGTCCTCGAGAATTCTCAAAAACTGCCTGTTGGGTAACTACCTGTTGCTTAACTACCTGTTGCTTAACTACCTGTTGCTTAACTACCTGTTGCTTAACTACCTGTTGCTTAACTACCTGTTGCTTAACTACCTGTTGCTTAACTACCTGTTGCTTAACGCCTCATCTGCATCATGTCCCCCTTATCAACGTGATAAACCATCTCACAACCTGTCCTCCTTTCTCCCCATCCCTCTCCATTTCACCTCCTCACCCCCTTCCCGTCCCCCTCCTCCGCTATTCGACACCCCTACCTATCTGCAGGTCTGTTCAGAGCCAAGGCTGCTGCGGTGGCCCTCCTTATCCCAATCCTCAACCCCCTGATTCCCCTCTCCCCCCCATCCCCCTTCCTTCCTTTCTTCACCTGCAGGTCTGTTGGGAGATAATGCACGCTGCGGCGGCCCTTCCTGTCATCCAATCCTCAACCCCCTGCTTCCCCACTTGCCCCCATCCCCCTCCCTCCCTGCAATTCACTGGCAGACCCTTGGACACCAATGCATGCTGTGACAGCCCACCTCTGACCCGTGGCGTTCGGCTGCAGTGTGGCATCATCTATTTTTGAGGCGCCTCAAAAGGCGTTCGGCTGCAGTGTGGCATCATCTATTTTTGAGGCGCCTAAAAAATCGTCTCAGTTTTGAGGCGCCTCAAAAGGCGTTCGGCTGCAGTGTGGCATCATCTATTTTTGAGGCGCCTTAAAAATCGTCTCAGTTTTGAGGCGCCTCAAAAGGCGTTCGGCTGCAGTGTGGCATCATCTATTTTTGAGGCGCCTTAAAAATCGTCTCAGTTTTGAGGCGCCTCAAAAGGCGTTCGGTTGCAGTGTGGCATCATCCACATCACACCCCCCTCACCACCCTTCATCCCTTGAGTCCACTCAAATGTCAGCCTGTTACAACCCACCTCCGATCCAGGGCCTAATGCTGCAGTGTGGCACACTGCAGTGTTCCTTAGACACCAATTCATGCTGCGACGACTCAATGGTCTTCTGCTGCAGTGTGGCATCATCCACATCATACTCGCCTCGCCACTCGGCACCCTGTGGCGGCCCTTACCTTCCTATCGTCCTCACCCTCTGCTTCCCCATCCCCCTCCCTCCCCGCTCT